GAATGATGGTCATATTTTCGCTGCTTATGATAAAATTATCTTGGCATATCTGTTCTCTCGACTTATCTTTCCTAAATAAAATACTTTCCAATGAGCTACGTTACAAAAATAGCATCGACCTCAGGGCATCATTCTTGTGTATTAGTAGCACCAAGACATTTTTCTATGTAACTAAGTTTTAGTTGACTGATTAAATTTCATCTTACTTCATAACATTGCACGCCTTTGGATTATCTCTTATTCGTCCTCTAAACAATGCGGTTTTCTTTAAAGCGAGTTTGTTCGTATACCGCAATATTAGAATTGTTTATTTGCAATACATTTCTGTGAAATGCAATATATCAGGCCACTTTTACGCTCATTTTACTTAACATGATCTGAGGCCTATTTTACACGCATTTTCAGGAGCAGCTTATGCGGCATTCTAGTGTTTTAACTCTGAATTATTCTATCCGAATTAGCTTATCTTAGAGTTGTTAAAAATTTTATCATTTTGAATTTTCCCATTTTGCATTCACGTTGCTTTTATGACTGTGCTTAGGTGCACAAGGTCTAGTACAGTTAGCTATCATAAAGGGCAACAGTACTTACTAGATTCGCATATTTTACTGCCCTATTCGCCTGTCCCACTATTGTCCTCAGTTTCTTCTTAGTGATATCCTGGTGGCTTTATTTGCTGGCCGACTTATTGTCAATCTTTAGCAGACTTCTTCCATGTTGCTTCACGTGATATCGCTCTTCGTGAATTATGACCTTTTAAAATATCAAAGGGCCTACATTTCATGCTATGAAAATGACGACATCGGCCACAGCTTTTCGAGGGTGTGCATACTGTTGAACTTTCTTGTCCATCTCTCGATTTCAGAGGTGGTTGGGGCAGCAGACTTTGACTTGAAATGCGTTTAGTCCATTATCAGCATCAACATAAGCATTCGTAGTCTGGTGAATCGAGGTTCCAAATTAGACTAACACACATTCGTATATACTTTTCTGAATACCAATGTTTGCATCTATGCTCTCCCATTGCTGTTCAGGAGCGCCGAGCCAAGACATACTAGAGTTCTGCGACGTGGCTAAGTTGACCTAACCTACGATGACATTTCCTTTATTATGCTAGGGCAGTGCCTATCTGCATGCTTGCTATATGCCACTTTGTGCTATTGGTATACAAAGGTCGTTCTAATAATTCTGATACACTATCCTTATAACATCGCACGTAGGACAAACTTTGAAATTTGCTATTTTTTCCTGTTCTACTGTTTCCCAGGATTCTGTACCATTGGCTCGATAAGTTGTTAGGACGTCGAAATCTCAAATTTATTCTCGTTCTTTTAACTTTTTCGTACTAAGATCTATAGGATATAAAGACTAAGTGGATGGAGCTTCCTTTCGCTTTGTTGTGTTGGCTTTACCTATATTTCTTATTGACCTGAATTTGATTTCGAATGTAAGTGTTTTATTAAGGGCTCTATAGGTATATCTTACCAGAAGACGACGATGATTTCCCCTTCATCTGCTGTAGTTTACTTGTGCTGGGGCGTTCAGATGGACACTGTCTTCAAGGAACAGTCGTTCGGATAATTAAAAAAACCAGTTACTCTTTTTCCGTAAATTTGTCGTGTTCTCATGGAGGTTAAAGAACCTACCTCATTAACATCTCTTATTGTTGTTTTTCGATATCAGAATTTCGACCCGGTAGCTGTCCATTTATCACTTTGACGAGCTGTAGCTAGGGCCTAAGACTGGCTTGGCTCACTCAGAATGTCGACAGCAATTGCTGTAACTAATTGACTATCCTATGCTGACAGGGCATATTTCGACAATAGCAGAGGGTGCAGTGTGGGGTGCACTTTTCGAAGTCGCCCTGAAAACTTGAGCAAGTTGCAAAAACGGAGTCAAACCAACTTTAACTCAGCAGAAGTTGTTGCTTGTACTAGATAGTGCAACGTTTATCTGCTGTATCCGTTTGAAGGCCTTATCTGATGGCATTTGACTTTTTGGTCCGGACTATGATATTTGTAGCAATGGTATCACAATTCTTCGCATGGCATTCTTCCGACATTCTAGCCTCGCTAAAACCCAAGGTTTCTGCTATTCCTTGGATATCGTTATCAATACATCCAAGCTGCATTCAATTCAAATTTTAAACGGAATAGAAGTAGACTGAACATACTTTAAGCTTACCTGATCAATCTTCTTCATTCCTTATTAATTTTTTTGGTTAGTCAGCGTTCTTATTGCCTTGCATTTTATTGACTATTTTATCATTTGTGTATTTACCTTGAAACCGACATTTTTTGCAGTCAGCAAATACCACTTAACAATTATATCACCGCCACAATAATTCCGCCCTTGTCAATTGATGTATTGCGCCTACTTATACCTCGAAGACCACCTCTACCGCTGTTAGCAACCACGTTACCACTACCATTGGCATTCAATAACATTACCGCTGTTTTTGTTCCTATAGTTAATACCATCGTCGTT